AACGAAATCACAGTCAAGAGCCAAGAGCTGTTGCAATCTGCATCCTTCACCCAGCTTCCAAAGAAAGGCTTTGCCTCTACAGAGCAACACAACATGCACGATGTCCCATTTCCTCTCCACCCTCTGGGCTTGCTCCTTCTCATCTCTGTCTGACTGTCACAATAGAGACCAAATCGCCTAATTTCTGAATTTCAGCAAGTGATGCTCACAGGGGTACCAAAGACGAGATGCACAGAGAGCCACAACTAGCTTTTTTTTTTTTTTGTGGTTGGTAAGGCAAAAGAAACACCTGTTCCCGTGAAGAACAAGGAAGATCTAGCCCTATTTGTAATCAAGGCTGTCTGCATCTCTCTCAGGAAAAGTAAGGTCTGATGTCCTTTGGGAAGCATTTGCAAGGCCTTTTCTCAACAAACCTTCTCTCACCACAGACAGATGCCATCTGTCTTGCAGCTGGGAGTTAATGGATTCTGCACTGCCAATTTCACAGCAGTAAGGAATGTGGTTGATAGAGGAGGCATGAGGGATTTCCTACAATAAAACTATTTAAAACAGTGCAAAGGTGCATGCTGAAATGGCCATGACGAGTAAAGGAAACGGCAATAGTGAGGGCTGATGGTCTAAGCCGGTGTGGATTTTGCCACTCAGTATAGCTCATGTGTATCTCCAACAACGGGTTTTTAGACTGTCAGAGAGCTACACCTAATCCCTGTGCCAGGATGGGCTACAGCAAACAAACAGGCTGTGGAGCTCCTGAGCGAGCGATCAACTTTTTTCATATTAAGTATCCAATTTCACCACACAGCTTACCAGGTGCTAAACCACCCAAGAGCCCATCGCGGGGTTTTCGAGCGTGCTAAGAACAGCCCTCTGTTCATTAACGTGCACCGTGTCGCACGAAACCCAACCAATCAACATCTCTGCTAAGAAGCAACGCAAGAGTCTGCAGGTATATTGAATTCCACCAACTTTCCAACCCGCTTCAGGACTTTCTGATTAAATTTACATAAAATGCATCCTTCTCTCTTATTCTCTGTTATACACATGAGATTATTTCTAGTGTTCTCGTGTCTGAGATTACCAGCGCTCGGATATGCAAGAGCATGCTGTGCCTGGAGCGCGCAATCAAGGCAGTTTGTAAGAGCACCAAGATCCTGTCTCGGTCAACCTCAGTGGATTTTTGTGCTCGTGGAATGAGAACGAAGCTGTAGTTTATCGTAAGAGATATAACGGGCAAATATCACATTTTTCAGTTCAAAGTTTAATAAAGGCAATCTGGAAAAATCAGTGTCTATGCAGATCAAGTTAGAGACAGGCGGCTCATAAAAGCTCTAGAAAGGTGCTGGAGATAAAGTTGGAAGTTTGGAGCATTCATAAGGCGAATAGGGTTGCAGGGGTTGACAGAGGAGCCTGCTATCCAAGCATGCCATGACCAAAGGCCAGTCCTGCACAGGAATTTGGTCTTTTAAATGAGTTTCTTGCAGCCCAGTGAAATGGGCCAAGACTTCAGTCTTGAAAACTGACTCAACATTCCCATTAAAAGAAGCTGGAGACTTGTATGTGGATCCAAAACCGAGATACTTTTTGAAGTTCAAAAGAGGATGAAATACATGATTAGCTAATAGATAATTACATAATAGATAATTAAGAATTAGCTAGACACGTAGCTAAAAAGGATGAGTCAGTGAGAAAACAAATGGTACTCAGCAAGGACACAACTATTTAATATATTATCTTAGCTGATCAGTGTGCTTGCATGAGTCATTTGCTTGGGGAAGGAGAGGGATTTCATATTGTTTTTTTTTTAGACCTCATAGTTATAATAACGAGAGTACCTGACAATTAGTAACAAAATTATCCTCACTACAGTAAAATATTTCACAGCATGTAAAATATTATTCCTAATACAAAGGTGGAAGTGAAGCACAAGGAAATTAAACTCTACATTTTCATAAATGTTTGCCAAATAAATAAGCATATATCAATAAAATTTGATAACTGTTTTTTCAGCTCAAAGACAAAACCAAAATGTGCAAGACATTTTTTATACCAATAAAAATTATTTTTAGCTTACACATGTCAAGATGTTTATTTAAACTCTCTGAGGAATACGTAAAAATTTTCAGTACCCGAAACTAATCAGAAATTCCTATTATTCTTTTACATATTATTTTTCTTAAAAACATTTCCTAGTTAGTGTGGTTGATGCATATGAACAGACATGGACGTTCCTTTGAAAGGAAAAACCCTGTAATTAACAGAGGTTTTTTTGGCAGGGATAATGTTGTGACGTCTTCCTTTTTTCTTTTTTTCTAAAAACTTTTTTATTTAATATATTTTCTCAGAATGAAATGGTTTAATGAGCAGAGAATTATAGTTGATCCCAGCTGAACCAGATAGGGCTGCGTTTCGAGGTATGTGGCTCCCATCAAGCTGCATTCACCTTTCCTGTGATTTAAACTTCATTCAGGCACAGCCTTGCTAAAAATACTGACAAGTAACTAATCAACTTCCATAAAATGGAATTTTTACCTTCACAATAGGAAGCAGGAGTAGGAGGAAACCCGAAAGATTTGCCTATGCATTTCAAATTAGTCTGACCTATAAAAACGCAAACAGCAAGAGGCACTATGAAAATGTACTTCTGGTAGGGCTTTTTGGTTTTTTAATGTCCAGATTTTTCATGCCATCCCTTCCTCTCCTTGGAGGTAACGAGAACCACAGATATCATAATGGACGGACTGGTTTCCATTAGTTGTTACCTATAAAATGCAAGCTCAAGCAGGGCACTCCAGACCAAAAAACGTTCAGTGTCCTGGAACTAGCGTTAGGTTTGAACACTTTACATAAACCAGCAGAGAAAACTGTGACAGACTTCCTCCCGTACAAACGGGGTATGAGCTGTAACTTCCCATGTGCGCTTCTAGCTCCAGTTTCTGAGCAGATAGACACAAAAATATTCAGCGCCCAGTGAGCAAAAGCATAGGAAATCAGATCAAAACTGTTACCTAGATTTAGGAGACAGCAGAATGCTCCAGGGCAATCTGAAGATTATGTGGATGGAAATAATCAGATAGTGCTGGTCTTCAAAGACCGTGATTTGTTCTATTCTGGATAATTAAAGAGCAAAGTCTAAGAGGGGAAGCTGTAACTCTTGGATAGAGGAGATGCTGCAGATGAGCAGAAACTCAACCAAAGCCTGAACATCAGGGGTCTCACACTTAATTGAGTTGCACTCTTTGTATGGTCTTCCCTGTCATTACGATACGTTCCTTATGTCAGGTGAAAGGGAAAGCAGCCCTTCATAACCCATTTCTTTCTTTGCCACTCCATTTTTCACTTCATTTTCAGTGTTTCCTCTAGCATCTGTATTTAAAACCTGCAACGGAATATATCGCTGACAACCTAGGAGCTCTGTGTTTCCATCAGCTAGGTTATCTTTCCAAGGTTACTGGTAGTTTAAGTGATGAATATAAATTCTTCTGTACCTATATAAAATTTATTATTTGTCACTTTCATTAATATTGGGAGTTTTGCATTCTTGAGTCCTTCTGTTTCATCTCCAGACTGTAGGGGGAAAAAGTGCCACAGAGATTTCAGTCCCTATAAATCAGCAAATTTGCCATGGTAAGGTGGTGCCAAGTTGTCCTCTCGCTGTCTAGTCAAAGCTCAAAAGAAATCAGCAGGGAGTGGGGCAGGGAACATAAGTTCATTTTGCAAGCACTCCACTTGTTTTTCACAGGAATTCATCTAAATTATTAATCTGATTTAGGAAGATATTTTTGACACATCAGGTTATTCTCCTCTTCAGACATTTCTTTAACTTAGAAGGACAACACATTAACAGGTCACTCCATACCTAGCACTGCTGACCACACAAAGACTCCTTGGCTTCCCTCCCTGTTTTTGCAGGACAAACATAAAAACATTTGCCATTTTATTCGTTGTCATACTTCCTTAATTGCACAAAGAAATTACACCAGCAATTCAAGTGCACTCAATACTTGGTGAATCGGAAACATGCACCTTCAGTCACCTGATGAGTCATTGCAAGGTTCACCTGAACTTCTAAAGAACTCGGCGAGCTCCTTTTTTCCTTCCAGACATGGGTTATGCAGAAGAGTATCAGCTAATCAGTGTGAAACAGGTAATGATGACAACTCATTTGAATCCACGATGACTGAGTAAACTTCCTGAGAAGGGGTGCCAAGGACACACCACTGTTGCTCAAATTAAGTTCTGAAATTTTGTAATCATCACCATTTTCTTCCAAGGGAAGAATTGAAAAAGTCTGCCAGGGAATTCTTTTTTTACAGCTAATCTTTCTACCACTCCAAAACCAGAAACGAGCACCCGCAAGAGGAGCATCATGTGTTTGCATTTTGCTAACACTTACCAACAGCAATAATGTATGAACCAAATACGTCTGTCAAAGGCCTCTTTTCCCTTCTTTTTCTTTTCCTATCATCCAGTAATCATCACAGAAAACCCCATGGGTAAACTTGATCTCAGAGATCATCCTTGTAAAGGAAGAAACCAGCACCATACAGAGGCGGAGGGATCCATCTGCAGCGGCGGCAGGCAGCCAAGCTTCTCGCCCCGCCACGCATCTGCACTCCGGCTCCGCGAAGGAAGGGAAGGATGCAGCACCCCCTCGTCGCTGGGTGCCACCAAGCCCAGCGTTACACCTGCAGCCGTTTTCTGGATGAGAGCGCGGGCAAAGTGCCATCTTGGCAGCAACACCAGCGTCTCTCGAGGGACCGGCTGGAAGGAGGCGATTAGGCTGCCGTTCAGCCGGGGGAGGGAAAACTGGGGCGAGTCACTTTGGAAAAGAAGCACCTCAGCAGCGTGTAAAACGCAACTTGCACGAGGGAGGAAGAGCAGAGAGCCGGTGCTTCCAGCCAGATGTCCCATGCCATGAGCTTGGACCAACCCACTACTTCGCCGGACCCACTGCAAATTTACCATTGTTGTTATTGTTTCGGTTTCATTTTTTAACTTACCCGAACCAGCTGCTGCGGAAAGGGTCCTCTGGAGTTTTCCGGCACGTTGATGGGTGGGATGACCCAGTCCCGCTTCTGCCGCCGCAGGCCGTTGGCGCTCTGATGCTGGCGCCACGGGAGCAGCGTGTCGCTTTGCTGCGGCGCCAGTTCTCCGGGCACAGCCTTCCTTCCTTTGGCCTGTTTGGAAACAAGAAAGCAAAACCAGTTAGCTTGTTCCTCGCTTCTTAGGGCTTCTCCCAACAGCGGCTCTTCCCTGTGTGCAAACGGTCACATGGAACTGTAAAAATTATTGTTATTAACATGATGTATTTCTGTATCACGAAGACACAATATGCCTCACTGCTGCCACTTCATTTTCACAAATATATGGAGCTGTCACTCTCAAATCAAGATGCCTCCCAGAATATATGGTCTTCATTACACCAGCTGCAGGGAGCTTTAGCAGCACATTGGGGGTAAAGAAGTTTCTGCAAATTTCTAATAAATGCAATAAAGAAGATAAAAAAAGGAGAAAATTCCTTTACAGCCTATGTCATGGGCCCCACGTTATAGTACAAAGCTACCCCGCTCCTTGGCATTAACAGGGTTACAGTAACCTGCAGTCTGTGGTTCTGCAGACGTATCCTGCCAAACCAAACAAACCACAACCAGAGAGTCAGCTCCACAGCTGCAACGATGAATTAGTTCAACTTCTTAGCGCTTCATGAGGAAAGACCTTTTTAAAAGAGCTGGGTTTTGAACACAAATCCCAAACACGCATCTCCCCACACAGTCTGGGCAGCGTAACAGATCTCAGGTAGAAAACAATTTTCATTATTTGGGGCACTTTTGAGTCCTTCTTTGTGATTTTTTTTTTTTTTAAAACTATGGATTCTGCCCATGGCATACTTTGGTGTTGGACATATTAAAATGCTGTGGCATAAAACGAAAATGGTGCGACCATGGTTTGGACTTCAAGAGTCTAGTTCATTATTAAAATGATGTATAGAATGATGACTCGATGAAATGTAGATTTGGAGAGGCTCTTCAGAGGTTACTCAGTCTCAATACTTAAATACTTGGTGGCTGCCTAGGATTCCAGGCATGACTTCTGGAAAGTCCACAGAAAAGATAAGTAACAAAGACAAGCTTTCATCATATGGCGACCTGCACTCCTACCAGAAAATGTTTAAACTTTCATAAATCAGAAAGAGTATAAGCCACTTTCTCTTGACTTGAGGTAAGATCCAGAGGGAACACTATTCTCAGCATTTTACAACTTTCAGCTATTTTTTTCAGAAAAACCCCCACTCAAAAACGAATATACCAAAATCCAAGAATATCACAGCAAAAAACAGTAAAGTTTTTTTTGAGGCTCCTGCAATTTTAGGCCACACTTACTTTTAGTCTTACTCAAAACCTACAACTCAAACGTCCTACAAACATTTGCAAGCAGTTATCCGTAGGCAATGATTTCAGCGGGCATCATCACTTTGGGGTTTACAGTTTGATGTAAATCCATGTATTAGCACATTTCAATTCTTGATCTGGAAGTGCATGCAATGCAGCAGGCAGTCACCTCAAAACTATACAGTATATGAAAACTAAACAGAATATGGAACTGAGAGGTGACTCCAAAGCTGTTTGCAACTTCTGCATGCCGAGAGTCGGGCATAGCACCAAGGAGGCCATTCCCACAGCTCTGTCGTGGCTCTGATCTGTGCCACCTGTGGAGGGCAGACATCCACTGATCGCAACGGTTGGAAGCATTTGTGTAAAAATGCAGCTATTTTTACTGCAAACCTTAAAAATGGGCCAGTTCCAGAGCTGAATTTTGGCAGAACAAAGATGAATGTGGTCTTTTTTCAGTCACTTTCACAGCCACGTTTCTCAAATCCTCTCTCACACCAACTCATGCCACCAAGGTGACTGCTGTTTTGTGTTTGCCTGAATGCTGTTCTACACACCTTCAACAAGCATCGTCACTAAGCTGCTGCAGGATGACTACACCACTGCTCAATATTTAGATGTTGTTCTAAAAATACTCACTTAAATGTGTAAGGAACAAAGAAACAGTATCGTGATGAGGCAGTGGGAGACTTTCTTGGGAATGTTCAGGATATTGGTAGGAACTGTTGAGCTCATCCTTCCTATGGGATGCAATATGCTATATCCAATGGAGTTTTCATCTAAAAGGGTTTTATCGCCAGAAACGTATCTTTTCTGAACACTGCTGAAAACAATGTTATCTAAAGAAGATACCCAGAAATGAATGTCAACATGAAATAGGACTACCAGACATGAGCTACAGAAAAGTGGATATCCCTTTTTTTTTTCTAATTGGCTTGTGATTCCCAAACGGGGATCCTTTGAGAGCAGGTATTTGGATCAGTTTATATAATTGGCAAGTGAGCGTGGGGACAGATTATGAAAGGATGGTCAAATAATTTGTGCTCTGCTGAGTTTACACAGTGGAATGAGTCTGAACTAAAGACAGACTTGAGAATTAACATGAATCCCAAAGCTCCGTGTATACTGAAATAATTAGTGTCAGCTCAGCAAGGCAGTACCAGCCTTTTTAGTCTTTATGAAATATTTGCTGGCAGGTGACTAGACAGTGACTAGCTTGCTTGTCACTCTTGATGATTTTTCCTACATTAGAATAAATCATCAACACAACTCTGAATTTGCTATGTGGAATTTCAAACGCGTCGTGCAACAACAATTTTTTTTTTTCTTTAAACAACAGCTCTTTTTTATCTTCATTTGTTGACGATGTATTCTCATGACCTTAATTTCTCTGGTGTTGTTTAAATACGTTGTACATGTTTTCTGCTGTGTAAAAGCTGTGAGACAAATGCAGTAACAAAGTCTGGTGAGTATAAATGCCAGAACTATTCAGATCTCTGACTGAAACATCCAAGAACATCTCTGGAATAACAGCAATAACTAACCATAAGCCCCAGAAAACTCTCCTGTACTTTCGAGTTTGCAGAGATCTAAAGTTCAACTCAAAAGCAGAATGGGACACCAGATAAAATTAATTCTAAGATACAGCTTCCAATCCTGTTTTTGCTGAATAACAGTTTTCACTGAGGTATCAACTGCTCCTTCTCATATGGCCTTACTGGCCATATGCTTTCCAGAATCTCAGGCGGAGATTTTTGAAAGATTAAATATTCCTCTACCTTTTGTAGCATCATCAGAACACTATCTGTCTGTAGTCCTTCTCACAGTCAAATCGAGAACCTCTAGTGCTGCTGCTTTAGGGTAGTTTCCCTCCTGTTGCTTTTGTGAGGTGCCATCACCCTCTTACACATGGGAGAAGGATGATGGGTGTTTGCAGCAAAGCAGAGAAGCCTGTCCATGAAACACATGCCCAGCGCAAAATTAAATCCACTCTCCATTCCGAAAATTACATTGTGACATTTGTAATTTGTTACAACAGGATCAAACACCAAGCAGGAACATGTGGCAACAGACAGACAATTAAATGAGGATATAAAATAGTCAGATAATTTACTAATTACGCCTGTCTATTACTTTAGGACATTGAAAAGCTAGAGAAATATAGCTGAACCAAAACAGATGAAAACCTTCAAGTTCAAGGAGAAAAAGTGATTAAAAAGTGTGGGATGAAGAAAAACAACAGGAGAAAAGATCACGCTGGGATGTAAATTTGTTATGAATTTGGATTCAGTATGATCTAACGCCTCAGTATTCATATTAGGGCAGAACTTTGTAGTGCTTGTTAACGAAGCGATGCAAAGCATTCCGTGCTAGCTGTATTATTTAAAGCCTACATTCTGCAAACGTGGGATCAACGCTTTGCTCGGAGTTGTCCAGTGTCTCTTCTAGTGAGTTTGTGGACATATGTGTGCACAACGCTAACGTGGGCAAATCGTAACGCAGCCGCTGTGTCTTCTGCTAATGAAACACTTCTTTCTCTGAAAAGTACAACTACAATATTCGCTGTGAGCAGTTGTAGGACAGGGGAAGAGTCTCTCAGGGACCATCCTCTCTGACATTGATCACAGCGATGAGCTCAGGATTAACTGCAGTACGATGAAGTGCAGTACAGTGTAGCAGAACCTGCCCTACAACTCCCCCCTTGCCACTCTTTTGGGTTTTCTTGGGCTACCAGTTAAAGTCAATCAAAAACATACTGAAGTCAACTGGAAACCTGTCACTGAGATGAAAGGTGAAGGTCTCAGAAAGCAACGCAAGGTTGAAGGAGGTGCAGTCTCATCTGCAAGAACTGTGAAAAGATCTTTCTTCTCAAAGATTGCCCCACAGAAGGCGTAGGGCTTTCTTCAAGTCCATGTCAGTGACTTCAATGGCATCTTACAGGAGTAATTTCCAATCCCTTTCAGTTGAGCATTGCATTTAACGCTGGTGAACACAACCTGCCCCATTCGGCAAAGGACATGCAGCTAAACCCCTAGGGACTGTCAGGCTTTAAAACCACATTTAGGAAACCCTACTCCAAACTGGTGAGGATGTATGGTGCTCTCACAAACTCCATTTATGCCATGGCATTGACAGTCCAGGGAGATTCCTTATCTGCGTTTAGCTCTGGCAATAAAAGGCAAGTCAGAATAGCCATCCAGCCAGTGGCTATCAGCTCCTGCCACTGCTGGTCCACGGCTTGTCAGCCTTTCATTTCTTTGGAAACTGGGCCTAAACTCAACCTGTACCCACAAAAGAGGTCAAAAAGTAATTCACTGAAAGAACAGGACATGTGGGATACCTGTAGCCCCCCTAATCTCATCTCTGCTCGTGAAAAGAAGGCTGCAAGCCACTGACTTTTCACTAGTCCACAAATAAAACCAGTGAGTGTGAAGAAATACCAGCTTTCACCTTCCGCTACACTTAGCAGTAGCCAGTCTCACCAGCTGGCACGTCTCCCCTCCCAGCCAACCTGCCTTTGATATCCGTCAGCCTCTGGCTACAGAGACATCTGGAAGTTATTATCCAGCAGAGCGTATCACAAACCCATTTACATAATATAATATCATATTTTGTGTTCCTGCTTAGCTGAACATTTTGGATCACTCTAATGTTTGGGTAAATAAGCCGCCATTCTCTGCATATAAATAACAGTGCGTCTTAGGGTATGTTTGTTGGAGATATTATTAATTTTATAGGGCTCAACCTGCCAAATGGAATGTTCTAGTTTCAGCACTAAAATATATTAT